CTGTCGCCAATCTACATGTTATAACTACTACTACTACCTACTACCTACTACGACTACTACTACTACTACTACTACTACGACTACTACGACTACTACTACTACTACTACTACTACTACTACTAAAACTACTACTACTAGTAGTAATAGGTAGTGCTGGTGCTACTAGTGCCAGCGCTAGGGTAGTGTTAGTGTGAGGGTGAGTGTAATTGTTGATGTGTGAGACGGTTAGTGTTGGCGTCGTCGTGGTGGCGGTGGTGTCTGCGAGCAGCCAGAAGGAGCATTATCACTATGCTCACCGCCATTATCATCATCATGATGTTCAGTCTGCTGCTGCTGCCGCCGGCGGCCATGAGCAAGCAGACCAGCGCAGCACCTCGGCTGCTCGGCAACATCCCGACACGAAACCTCTACGCCTGAACCAATCCATACCCGACCCCGAAACCCCGACCCACTTTCGCAACCCGAGAGTGCCGAAACTCTTAACCACCACACCCCATAGTCATCAAGAAGCATTGCGACCAACATGAGATTACGGCAGTAGGATTACCATTTATCTTGGCTGGGAAGACAGGCAGTTCATCTTCACCTTAGTCAGTCTCTGGCAGAGAGGCGCCTGGCAAAGCAGACCAATCTTCATGCCTTTGGCACGAATAACTTCGTAACAGTAATTAATTAAGTGGCGGTTGCACGTAACGTGAGGGCTTTGTGCTCCCCTCGCCACAGCAAATATCAGCTCGCTCTCGGAAGCTTGTGCTTCCGGAAGGTCCGGAAGCTGGCTGGTCAAAAGGGCCAGAGGTCCACGTGATGCGAGCGTGCGTGATCTGTGGAGTTCATGAAGACACAGCCAGTGGTCAGGCCCCAAAGGTGATCCGGGCATGTGAAAGCAAAGTAAATCTTTGCGATGATCCAAGCTATGAACACCAGGCCAGATAAGTAAGCTACCGTCAGGAGCAAGAGACAGAAAAGTCCCGAGCATCCCCGCTTGCACACTTCGCCCCTGCAACACTCACCCGTCCATGCTAATGCGAAGAACCGCAACACGGGCAACAGCTTGTAGAGTGCCATCGCCAGGCCGACGAACATGGAAGCCAGTACCTTCCAGTGCCCACTCCTGTCCAGATCGTCGAAAATGATGCCGTAGAGGGAGGCCTGCAACGCATGAAACATGGGTACCACCGGCAGCAACCTCACAGCAGGAAGTCTTCTGTCTGGACCCATGGATCTGAGACGCCCTCATGGTCCAGGAACTTTAACTCTAGGTACCCAGCTGTGTGCGTCTGTTATGTATGCTAATGCACTTAGACAAGCTGCGAACTTAAAACACAGTCGATGTCCTTTGGCAGAATGATTTTGACGTTGACGACGATGACAGTGATGATGATGATGATGATGATGATGATGGTGATGATGATGATGGCGATGATGAGGATGATTATGGTTCTGGTGGTGGCGATGATAACGATGATGAAAGGTGATGGTGACAGTGGTGGCGATGGTGATGGTGGCGACGAGGGTCACGATGATAATGTTGAGGATAATGATGATGATGATGATGATGCTGATGATGATGATGATGACGGTGATGGTGACGATAATGCCGATAGGGGAACACTGTAAGCCCATGATTCATCACTTGTAGCGGGGCCAACCCGTTCCGAACATGGACTGCAGAAATTCTGCCATGGATGGATCTCTGAACAAGTTCTCAAGAAGCACCAATCTTACACCAAGTGTAGCACTAGCCTGCCCGAAGCAACAATGAAGCTGCTTCGAGAATAAGACGTCCCGCATTGCTACTTTCCGCTGGGCCTGCAGAAACAACTGGACAAGGTTCTCCATGATAACTTTTGACAGGCACGTTGCCAGACTTCTGCGGGTCGGTGCCTGCTAGCAGCGATACGCACAGCAACAAAATTCTGTGAGGCAAACGGACAAAGCACACCAAATTTGTCGGGTATGAGTGCCGCGCCTGAAACTGAGTCGTTGCATCTCGTTCACTGGCTCGTTCATACCAGAACGCGATGGATCCTAGGCCCGCTGCATCCGCAGCAATTGTGTTGTCGTTCACATCGCTCCTGACAGGCCGACAGCACTGCCCCATCACGGAACCGGCGGTCGATTAAAGCAAAGCTGATCGGAAACTGTGGTTGGGTCGGATAAACGGACAACCCCTGCCCACCTGTATACACAAACGGTCGCAGCAAACTGCTGGGCCATGCCGGCGGACACAAGAGCAATCACCAGAACCTGAGTGATACTGCAGGGGTGGTAAGCGATAATGAAGCCTTATACACGGTGTGAATGCGATTATTAGGATAACTACCGTTATGATGTTTGCAACAACAGCAACAACAAGTTGCAATTGGACGCTGTGCGAGCGGACTCCACACATAGCGGGCAATTGCCGCACTGGCACTCTCTCAGTGAAACCGATTCAGTTTGTTCAAGACTGCATGACCTACCAGACCTACCACGAACTAGGGAGCTAGAGAGCACTTGATCGATCCACGTTAAGCTGCCCCGTACGGTATCCGCCGGCGAGCACATGAGGCCTGTTGACTCATCTCCACAGTTGCAGGGATGCCTGCAACGGCTGCCTCGTATCCCTAAGGACCGGCAAGCACATGAGAGAACAAGCAGGACCTCCACTCACTTAACAGGACCACGATCAGCTCGGCGCGGAGCTAGTACCTGACGGTGGCTTTATCAGCTGGGGAACTAACTTGCATGTCGAGTAAGCGTCTTTGCTGCTGCACGACAGCACAAGCTGCCCTCATGTTTTGACAGGCGAGGAAGCACTCGCTCGCTCACTGAAGTACGAGCCAGGAGAGTGCGTGCTCCGAGTGGCAAAAAATGCAAAGTGCAATATTGACCGAGCCACCTGAGCTAGAGCAGCTAGAACTCTGTAGTATCCCGGCCCGAGGCCCCTGACTCACGCTAGTGGCTACCAGTCTCGGCTGTTCCACCTCCATGAGCTTGAGGAGGAGGCGCCCCAGTCGGAGCTGTGCCACCACGAGCGATCATCCCATTGATGACTGGCGTTTCTGACGCTTGTCAGAAACGGGGCCAGCCTCTTCCGATTGTCTCTTATCGGGACGAAGCCACTTTTGCTTGGCTGGTGTGTCACCCAGCTTGTGATCTATTCGGAGTTTGCGGACCACCTTGCCATCTTTCGGCATATATATAATAATGTGGTTGACCAGCCCGCAGGAGCGGCAGCTCTGATCATAGATGGCCTTGATGTCTGTCTCCAGCGTTTCCTGCATCTCCGCTTGGTCCCAAATACCTTTGAAAAGAGAACCGATCAGCCCGAAGAAGCCTGTCAGGGAGGGAAGGACGCGGTAGTTCTCGCCTTCCCCCAAGGCAATGGTCAGATTGCCTTCGGTACCCATAACTGGTCTCGCCGTCATGGTTTCTGCCCAAGTAGTGCTCATCTCGGTGACTGCCAGATGGATGGGGGCGAGGACCCAGGGAGGCTTCGCCAAGATGCGCATGCGATCTTGCCACATGCCAAGCTGCTCCGAGACTTTCAAGCCGCCGCTGAAGCCTTCTCATTCATGATGAGGATGGTGGCCAAGGCATGCACCCAAGTGAACATGTGATCAGATTGACATGAACTATTTTGTCTCGCTTGGGGAGGGCGTCCTCTTGGTCTTCCAGTGAGGACGTTGCGAGGCTTGCGCAGGGTCGGCCGTGGGCTTCTGAGAGAAGGCCGTGAACGGCTTTTGGGGGAAGTTGGGAGGAGGGTGCGGCGGGGAAGCAGGGGAAGCCGTGGAGGTGGGAGAGCGAGGGTCCGGCGAAGGTTTGGGGGGGGGGAGCCTTGGTTTTGGGTGAAGGGAAGCTGCATCGAAAGGCTCGGCGGAAGTGCCTGTGTGAGTGGCAGCCTGAGGGTTCTGGGGGCGGCGGCGGTGGCTCGGGGGAGAATGGGCCGGCGGAAGGGGCGGCGGGAGCAAAGCGGGCCTGCGAAACGCTGGAGCTTGCGGGGGGGAGGGGAGTCCTCCATTGGTGTTGGAGGAGCCGGAGCTGGTTGAGACGACTCACCCGAGCCTGGAGGAGGCGGGGCGGGGTTGTGGACTCCTCCTCTTGCAAAGTGTCAGTACTTGGAACGGCAGCGGCGACATGTGAGCCACCCAGGTTTGTGCGGATGTAGCCGTAGGCCACGGGGAATACAGCGCAGGATGTCCGTCTGCGGCAGTCCCTGCAACATGGTGATGGCTCGTCTCTCGCTGGCTCTGGCTGCTTGGTTTGGCCATCATTGCCGAGTTCCTCCTCGGCTTTGAGGGCTCCACTGTGCAGCTCCTGTAGCAAGTAGACTGGGCCGTAGGTGGGAGAGATGTTCCAGCCAATCGCCAGTGGCTGGCCCATGTCGTGCTGCAGGGTGGGCCAGAGCTCCTTGCAGAAAATCATGTACACCAGGTTCGCTCGCGACCTGGATGAGGATGTTGCGGGTGAAGGCGTGGGCAATGGCCCGCATGAAAAGCGGGTGTCTCGGCTGACCATAGATGATTCCCTGAAAAATGTGGTCGCGTTTGATGCCTACGGCCATCAGCAGGAACTCGCCCGGCAGTGTGCCGAGCGGAGTTGGACCGAGTCCCCTCTGCTCGCTTTCCTCGATTTGGGCAGAGCCCCGGTCCGCAGCCACAAGTTGTAGTAGCCGATCAAAAGTAATGCGAAAGGCGAACTTGATGTCAAAGTACAAGCCACCGTGATTGTAGTGGTAGATGTATCGAAAAAGATCGCACGGTGGGCCGGCTGCTTGAGGTTGGAGCACAGATGCGGCGAGCCGTGCTCGCCCGCATGCAGCGTGATGGTTGTGAGGAGCTCGTCGTTGCAGAAGGTGCGCTCGAAGTCCGGGAGAAACTGCTTGAAGATTTCGCGAGGGCCTGGCATGTCGTCGTGGATGTAGGTCTGAAAAGCTGTTTCGGCAGAGGGCGTCGCATGGCATCCGGCTCAAGAAATCTTCTCAGTACCCACTTTTTGTGGGTGTGTCGAGCAGCGATGGAGCCAATTTCCTGTAGCGTCCTGGCCTGACACAGCTCGGCCGTAGCATGCATCTCACTGTGACCGAGTCCCGTTTTGCACTCCAAGAGCACACAGCCAAGACTAGACCTGAGCCGCAGCAGGGCGGCTGCGTCGCATGCTGCCCCAAGAGCAGGCCAATAGCCTGCTCTGCGATTTGAGGCCTGAAATGGCAGTCCTTGGTGGAGTAAAGCTGGTCGATTAGGCCCGGGCTGCTGCCTTGCAGACTCATGATGGTCTGGTCTGAGAGTTCATAGGCAGCCAGGCCGCAGTTGTCCCGCACATCCGCAATCCAATCATATGCACCTTGCTTGCTGGGCAGGAGTGAAGCTCGCAATGGGATGAGGCGGACGTGAACCTCGTCATAATAGTGCTTCTTCAGCATGGCTGTAAGGGGAGCGTGGTCTGCTGCCAGGACCTTCCTGGAGGCGTCGAGGGGGTGCCGTTCCGAGGCGACACCAGGCTCGCCCCTGGACAAAGGACCGCCTGGCCATTATCCACGCTCTCCACTCCGTAGAGCTTGCCGGAACCATCCAGCCACAGTAACTGTTGCAAGGTACTGTCGCTCAATACCAGAAAGGGAGGCTTCTGGACCGCTGCCATGGCTTGAGTCGACGGCCTATCAAGGTAGTGAGCCGAGCTCCGGGGAGGAGGACGCAGGACGTTTGGCTGCCGCTAGCCGTGGCAACCGACTGTTGGAACCCGACTGACAGAGGCTCAAAAAGAGACTAGAATCCCGTATGAGAGCAACTAGTGCTGGTTGCCACTGAAATTCTAAAGCATAGCAGCGAGACAACTACATCAGTCCTGTTGTTGCACGCTGGGGATCTAAGGACAAAACTGGAGCCTCGCGCTGGAGAGAGGTGTAGGCTCGACAATGCGTTCTCTCAAGCTCAATCCTGAAGTGCTCGAACCGGTGCGGACAATGCACTGGCAGGCTGGGCACTTGAGTTGCTCCGCCGTCATCCAGCGCTAGGCAGCTTGACCTGAGAGGAGCAGAGCCGGGCGAGTTAGCTGGATCATCTCATGGCTAGTGTTCACAGATAAAACAACAAATCAGAGCCTGCTTGCCAAGCTGTTTGCTTGCGCGAGTGATGTCCACAACTCCTGGGAGACTGAGCAGCAAGTTCTGAGAGAAACTCCTCGGGAGCCGAATGCGCTCCGAGAGCCCCGGGTTGCAGCGCTAAGCTTAACGGGCAGAGCCCCCTCAGCCTCAGGCCTAGGTCAAAAAATTAGTCCGCTGGAATCAGCCACCTTTGGTAGCTATGGTCTCATCACTGGCCATACCATCCTTGTGCAGGGAGTAGCCCAGGTCACGCAGGAGGGGTCGAGTTGAAGGCTGCAGCCTCCAGGCCTCACGAATGTGGCATGCTCCCAGGATCAGACGACAGCCATACCATGGGAGAACCAGATGTCTGCGATGCGGGTTGAACTTCAAGAAGGGGAGCGTGACGTGGTGTACATGTCCCCGGATGCAGTTCTGTTTGTCCAAACTGTAATCCCCGGCCTCCGACTCCACGGAAAGATGGCCACCCTCAAAGTCAGAGAGGGGGATCAGCAGGTTGGGCACCGACTTGTGATTCTGGTGATCGGCGTGCAAGCCCATTGCTCGGTTCCTGGCCAAGAAAACAGACGTGTGGTGCTGGGTACCGCACAACGTGTAGATCACAGCGGAAGCGATTGACCATGGGAAAGCTCCTGGTTTGCGTCCGGAGCCCCACCAGCGTGCCCTGCGAGTAGGCACCAAAGAAAATGCTCTTCTGATCCGCAGCCGGAGTGATGCTGAGCGAGATGTGACGGGAGTCCGAAGTGACTGGAAGATCGTCCAGGAGCTGGCCAAAGACGGTGAAGGGGGTTCAGCGGTGCTGCAGGCACTTCGTAGCAAGCGACTCCGCAGGACATAGCGAGAAAGGATTGCCTTCCATGTCCATGCCTGGTGGCAAGAGGAGCTTGATTCCAGCCCCTCGAGGGTTCACGTACAACTGCAAGGCTGTGACAACTGACTCCTGACGTAGCCGCTCCAGCTGAGACGCTTGGTCGGACTCCGTGTCCGTGGCCAGAGCAGGTGGAGGACGCGATCCAGGCAATGCAATGCGTGCCCGCTTAGTGGACCGAGATCTCCTGCTGGGTGCGGTGTGACCGAGTCTCCTGTTTAGCTGCGGGTGCCTCATCAGAGTCGGTGTCCATCGGTGTGAGCCCCCCGCTGCGCAACCACATTGCTGGGGAGAATGAGCACTAGACTGAGTCCCTTGCTGCTGAGCAGCGGGTGCCTCCGGCTGCAAGCACGGCTCCACTCGTTACGGCTTTCAATCTGCCTTTTTAGTTTCACTCTGCCAGCTTGTGCCTAAGCGGTATGAGTCTGCGAAACTGATAGAGAATAGAGACAGCCTTCGAGAGGCAAAATTGAAAAACGCAAAAGCCGACTGCTTTGCTCGCACTCAGAGAAGGGCGGCACCGGCTTAGGCCTCTGCATCCGCTGAATGTTGCCTGACGCCATATTCCTGCCGAGGTCAGGGCGCCTGTGCAGGATTGGCATCACGAGCAGGTGCGTCCGACCCGGCACCAGCTGATAGTTCCTGTGCCACACGACTGAGGAGGTCTGAGGCCAGACCCAGTGACCTGGCCAAAGCATGACGCCTCTTCCTTAGGGCGTGTTCACCTGCAGCGGCCACCTGGGCAGAGGCTATGTAGCTGGTTGCCGAGCAGACCATGGCATTGCGCTCTGCGATGGGCACTGGGCACCTCGGGCTTCTGGCGCCGGGACGGCTGTGTCGTCCGAGGCGACCCGCCTCATCCCGGCCTGTTCCCCGAGCTGAGGAGGCGATGCTGGCAGACGGGCAGAGCCCCCTGTGCTTGGTGACGCTGATTGAGTGTCCGCCCCAGGCTCCTGACTTGCTGATGGCGCAGGCGGCGGCGGAGGGGGGAGTTGGCAGGCACGAATAAGTAGCCATCCTGATTGGAGTAGGCCTGCCACGGAAAGACCTCCTGATATACCGCCCTGACAAAGCGACCGCAGGTCCGTAGCTCGCCCGCACTTCAGGAAGAAGCGGGCCGAAATCGCAGAGGCCTCGGCTTTCAGGTACCAAGCTGCCGTTGGAGTTGCCGAATTTGGATGCCGGGGTGGTGAACGTAGCTGTGTCAGCGCGTAATTCACCGTTGGCAGTCCAGAGCCAGGCGTGCAGGATGAGCTTGTAGAGCCCTGCCAGGAACCAGGTGGGAAGGAGAAGAGGTTCTTGGTGGCCTCGTCCAAGTGTCTCTGTCTATCCACAACATGAGCTCTTTTTGGAGGTGACTGGGCAATGCCCAGTCACGGTCGGTTTGTTTGCGCTTCATGGAGGGCTCCGGGCCGACGTACAGCTGGTTGAGAATGGTCCGAGCCAGTCTGTAGTAGTCTCCGAAAGCTGTACGAACCGGGCTTGGCGAGGCCTCCAGCGTGGGAGGCCGGTGTGTATCACGGCCGTAGCCCGAGGCTCCGTAACCTAGATGAAGCGGGTAGACCGAGTCTCTTGTGCAGCCAGCGTAGTCGATGAGGACAAAGCAAGCCGGGTCGGATCGAATCATGATGTTGCCCCCATGTACATCAGCATGAACAATCTGAGCCCTGTGGAGCATTTCCAAGGCCGCAGTGATGTCGAACTTGAGCCGGATGACCTCTTCGACTCTGAGGGCCCCCTTGGGGACTGGCCACAGCCTTGGCATGAGAGCCCGGGGTCCGCTGGTCACGTAGACTGTGCTGAGGAAGCGCCGACAACAACAACAACAACGACAACGACAACGACAACGACCACGACAACGACCACAACAACGACCACAACCACAACCACAACCACAACCACAACCACAACCACGACCACGACGACGACGACGACGACGACGACGACTACTACTACTACTACGCTGCCACTGCCACTGCCTCTGCCACTGCTACTACTGCTCCTGCTGCTACTACTGCTACAATACCAGTACGACTACGACGGCGACGACTACTACTACCACTACTCGTATACTGCCACTGCTACTGCTAAAGTGAGCTGAGAGACTCCCCAGAAGTGCAGCCCACGGATCAGTGGCACCCAGATCGGGAACCAGGAGGCCTTATCGCGTGGTGGTCGTGTCGTCGTGGCCAAAGAGAGACACTTAGACCAAGCCCTTTACTGGGAGCTCAGTTTGGAACTACAAGAAATTCAGACGAGCTTTGAGGCTGTCTCAGCTCGGAGCTGACGGTGGCCTAATGCAGGACTCACGCCACCCAACAGCTTCAGTTTAACAACGGAACTGTCAAGCACACAAATCCAATGACGTTGTTTAAAGCTCGAGTTGCAAAACAAGCCGAGATAAAACATGGGACGCGGGTTTGTCCTGGAACATACTTTAGAGGAGGCGCGCGCTGTTGCGTGCTAACCAGCGCAAAGTAGTATCTCAGCACGAAACCCCTCAGCGTACTGAACGGGCCTCGAAAGTGGTCGCCCATACGTCCGTTGCTTTCGGGTCGCAGACTGCTGCCTGCGCAGCGACAACCGTTGCTAGGGTTACGATTATAGCTACATCATTGCTACTAGTGGTCCTTGTTGCGGTTATGAACCCGGCAGAATACTTATGGTGACTGTTGCCATCTGTAAGTTACTACTATGCTGTTGTCCGGAGATGCTTGCCTGGACCGGCATGGCCCCGTCGGTAAACCAGTCGAAGTGTTCGAAGGCGCCGATGCAGAACTCAAAGATCAACTTCAAAGACCAGGGGACCTGCACCGGGGAAAGATGCGAGAACGATCCATTGAGCACATTGGGCATCATCATCTCCCCTAGACCTTAAACCCCAAGTGTTTCTGCGAATGTGGGATGTCTGATGCCTAGGTGCCACTGGAGTCAAGGTCTAGTCTGGCGATGCCAGTGGAGCGAAGGTTGAGCTTTTCTGAGGCCACGGGCCACAAGCTTTAGACCCCGAGGCTTTAGTTTGCTGAGGTTTAGGCCTGGGGTTGAGGGCTTACGAAGTTTGAGGTATTGTCCATCCATTCCGTGGTAGGCAGAAGCTGCAACTTCCGACAATCACCGGGTCCCCGAGCCGCCAACACTAAGCGTTACACTAACCTCGAAAGAAGGCCGATTCAGAATGGCACCCCTTGACGACGAACAGCCTGGCCAGCCACCGACAATTGATAAAGTGTCGTGCCGATAACACCTTTTGTCCGCAGCAGAGTAGCTGGTTGTAAGTAGTTTCTAGATCCTGCTGCATCTCGTCGCAGACCTCACAGCCAAAGACACGAATATATACTTGCTGCAACAGCCACGCTACCTACCCGAACGCACAACGTCCATTATCTTCCCGAAGAATTGAATTTGAGCTTTCCCGGTCTGTGTTGTCCACTTTGACTGACAAGGCCTCGAGCTGCTGCAGCAGCTGGTACTCGATGTACTTCGCACGCAGCAGCGCTGGGATGTACAGTAAGTAGACCCAGGTCGGCGAGCCTCCGGCGCAGGTGGTCCAAGGAGCTGCCACGAGGGGCAACAATGGAAGCAGCCACATCAGACGCATCTCACATCGCAGCTTGCGACCGACCTCCTGGTGCATCTTCTTCCTAATCTCCTCCGTCGCTATCGTCCAAACTTCCTGTTGCGCTGCCGCTGCCGATTCCAGGACTTGACTCAAACCTTCCACATTCTTTTTCCCTTTTGATGTCGTTCCACAGGAGAAGCACACGTCAGCTTGCTGTGGCTGGTCAAGCTGGTGGTCAAAGGCCCAGGGTGTATTCTGGGCTGCTCGCTCTTGGGCTTGTCTTCGTGATTGCACCAGGAATTCACGATCGTCTTTGGTCATGTCTTCCTCTTGCACCGCAATCAGTGTGCAGACGCAACAGCACATGAGCTGGCAGCACAGGCATACTAGGCCAAGCACGGCTGCCAGAACGATGGACGCGACGGTCCATTCCTCCATGGCTTCGACACACCCCTCTAGTTGGCGTTCCTTTTGAGCCAACCCTGGCACCGAACAAGAAAATAAGATCATGACGATGCATGAACCGTTGATACTTCTGACCAATTTCATGACTACCATCACCCGTATCATCGCCATCATCACCATCGTCATCAACATCATCATCATCAACAACAACAACAGCAGCAACAATGTTACAATATCGCAAGCACCAGGAGTATCAGCATCGGCATCAGTCGTCATCACTCATTGTTTGCACTTTCTTCAACACCAACATGACAACACAAGCACTACGATGATGATCCACAATCGTACTGGTCGTCGCGATCTGGATCCGAGAACAATGTGTCAACGCTCAGCACTCTTGGGCAGACTGCCGAAAAGTCGATCGCCNNCTCCAACTCCCCTGCCCAGCCCATGGTGCAAGTTGGTAGCCAAGTCAAGACAGGCATCAGATGAAGTCGAATCTGAAGACAAACCTGCGAACCTCCTGCATCTTTTGCTGCGTGGGTGTGCGTGCGTTCGAAACACTAGGTCTTCTCCCTTCAGCAAGCGCCCAACGTCCGTGCCCATGTTTTTGTATGCA